CGCCGCCGCCGTCACCGCCGCTGTGTGAAGCCGTGCTCGCGGACCAGGGGGACGGCTTGGGCCCGCTCATCGACCTGAGCGCCCTGGACCCGCCCGAGTCTTGCCACACGGACCCCGCGCGGTTGTACGACCCTCTGCTCTGCGAGCGAGCATACTGGCGCCAGCCCGAGGGCGCGCTGCAGCGCTGCGAGCACGCCTTCGGAGGCGTCGGCGGCCAGGAGCCGACGTGCCTGCTCTCGACTGAGCTCGTCTTCTGCTCGCCGCCGCCGCCGCCACTCGCTACGCCGGCCGGCTTCTGCGCGCAGCTCGAGCGGATGACTGACTTGCGCTCGCTCTCGCCTCCACAAACCTGCCACTCCGACGCTACCCGCGCCCAACAGCCGGAGAAGTGCGCGGAGGCCTACGTCACGCAGGGCAACGGGCTTCTTCAGCGGTGTAAGCACGTCGGAGGTGGGCCGGCCGCCGCCGCCACTTGTGTCATGTCCCGCTTCATGACCCGCTGTGGCCTGCCGCCCACCCCTGACGATCTCTCGCCGCCGCCTGGTCCGACGCCGCTCTCGATCCCTCCGCCCTCGACCCCGTCCCAGCAGCCGCAGGCACTGCCGCCAATGAGCGAGGCCGCCATTGCCATCGTTATCGTCGCGGGTCTGTTGTCCTTCGTTGTCTGCCTCTGCCTCGCCGAAATCTGCTTTCTCTCCACACTGCGGAGGCAGCGGGTGTCACCGCAGCCGTGGCTGACCGCCGGGGTGGTGCGGCGCCGCGGCCGAAAGGGGCGCCGGAGGACGGGGCTGGCGACGCCACGCACTCGGGAGGTCGAGCGCGGCGGCTACGACATGACTCCCGTGCTCGCTGGCGGCGGCGGGTATGCCCTCGAGCGCCAGGTGGAGATGATGCAGGGAGGCGCATACGACGGCACGCCCCCGCGGCCAGCTCAAGACCCTTGGTATCACTCCCCCGCTCGGTGCCAATCACCCGGTGAGCCGGCGAGAAGTAACGAGTACATCGAGCGGCTCGGGCGGGCGGCCTCAGCACGCCAGACACCACCCCGTGGCGCCGCCTCCAGCGCAAGCGGCGGCAGCGGCAGCGGCGGCGTTGTTGGCACGGCGCCCAAGGACATCGAGATGCACATCGAGCGGCTCGAGCGCGCCACCGCGGACATCCGCGCGAGGCGCACCGCGCACTCCAACATCTCCGACAGTGACCCCTCTCGCACCGGGACCCCGACGAACAGTGGCGCGGGGAACAAGCAACGCGACACCTTCCAAACGCTGCAGTTGTCGCACTCCAAGACGACCGAGGTGCACATGCATCGCACGGCATACGTCTTGATCATTGTGAATCAGCGCTCTCAGTCATCGCCGTTGCCATGTACCGTAGGATCCTGGTGCTCGCCAAGCCGGAGGCGGAGCCTCCGACGACTGGTTGTACTAAGCGAGTACTCTATATAGGGAATAGCCAGAGAGGAGATACACCATGGGACACACAAGAAGCTGGACACGAGAGCCGCGGAGAGAGAGCCCCGCCACACTTGTGTGCGCGAGAATACATGCTCCCTCTCTTCTCTTCGCTATCTATAGCCCGTTCACACGCCGCCCTGTCAGCGTACAGCGACGGTTCAAACAGCGAAAACAGTATACAGATGTGAGATGTGAGGAGGTGTTTTCACCACCTTTTCTCTTTCTCAAAACACGAAAAAACAAAAACAGTGTCGGGTGTCGCATGTGGAGTGTGAGACCGGGCTTCACCAGGTTTCAACCGGCGATTGCAGCAGTCGGGCCAGCCGAGCCACCGCCGACGGCGGGCCCGCGCCGCAGCTTCGTCGGGTCCTTCGACCCCGCTTTGATGGCGCCCGGTGTCCCCTGCTTGGCTGGCGCCTTGCCAGGCGAGGACGTGAGCCTGGCAGGTGCAGAGGGCGCCGTGCCGCCGGGCGGCTCGAGCATTGAGCTCCACACCCGAGGGACGTCGAGCTCGGGCCTCGGCTCCCGCGGCTCCATGGGCGCGCTCCCGCAAGTCGCGCCGCCGCCCGCCGACTCGTCGCGCTCCTCGAACTCGAGAGGCGGCTCCGCCTGCTCCAGCGCCCGCTCCGTCGCGACATCCAGCAAGACGTGCGCCATCGTCTTTGCCCCCTCGATCGCGCTGAGCAGCTCCTCCTCACTCCCTGCCGGGCGACCCAGCAGCGAGAGCCCAAGGCCCAGCCCCTTACCAGCGCCGTACAGCCGCATCTCGGGCGCCCACCGCACCCCCTCGCCACGGCAGAGGCGTAACGCCGCGGCCTCAGCCTCGGCCTGGCCACCGGCGGCGCCACCATCCTCTCCCTGCTCCTCGGCAGCCCCCTCTGCCTCCCCGGCCCCCGCTGCCCCCGCGGCGGCCTCCTCTTCCTGCCTCCTCCCCCCCTCCGCCGCCCCGTCCCCAGCTCCCGCTGCCTCCTCTTCCTGCCTCGCCTCCGCCTCCGCCTCCGCCTCCGCCTCCGCCTCCGCCTCCGCCTCCACCTCGGCCACCGCGTCGCTCAGCATCGAGACGAGCTCCGACCACACCGGCAGTGAACGGCCCTGCGAGCGCGCCAGCCTCCTCGAGCGTGTCGCGACGTCGAGCGCGCTCCTGCCGGTGAGTGCGCTGCCGCCCTTCTTAACAACGCGCGACACGTTTGCGCCGTGACGGAGTAGGAGCGCGGCCACGCGGCTCGCCTCCTCCCCAGAGCTGCGCATCGACTCGAGACTGACAGCAACCATGAGCGGCGTGGCGCCGTGCAAGTTGGGCGCGTCGGGGTCTGCGCCGCGGCGCAGGAGCAGCTCGAGGAGCTCGTACCGAGCCTCCGCCATCACAAGAGGGCGAGAGAGCGCGTGCAGCAAAGTGCCGCCCGACACGCGGCCAAGGGCAAGCGGCGGATACGCGCGCAAGAGCCGCCCGAGCTCCTGGCCGACGGCTTGTTTGGCCGGCTGCTGCCAGAGCCCAGAGGTGAGGCCGAAGACGAGGGCGAGCGGCGGCCTCCCCCGCTCCTCGCTGGCCGGCGCTTGCGGCGGCGGACGGTCGAACAAGCTCTCGTAGATGCGCGCGAAGTCGACATGCGAGGTGCAGCTGTTCCGGCCAAAGACCCTGAAGAGCGAAGAGGCACGCCTGCTCTTTCTGACGTTCTGCGTGTCCTCCTCCGCGTCGTCGCCTCGCCGCTCGCGCAAGTCGAGGAGCTGGCTGGACGCCTTGCCGGCGGCGAGGTCGGCCGAAGCGCCCGCCTCGCGCAGCGCGAACACCACCTCCGCCTGGCACAGCAGCGCTGCCCAGTGGAGAGGCGCGAGTCCGTCGTCGCCCTTCCCGTCGGCGGAAGCGCCGTGCTTGGTCAGCAGCCGAACCACGTCCGCCGCCCGTTCGGGCGGGTGCGCGGCGGCGGCCCACTGCAGCGGCGTCGCCCCGCTTGAGTCGCGCCCGTTGATGGCGGCAGCGCATGCAGCGGCTCGCGGCGCGTCGGCGGCGCAAGCCAGCTCGAGCAGCGACCGGATGGCGGGCACCTAGCTCGCGTGCGAGGGAGGCTCTCGGGTCAGCGCGACAAGACGCGCGGCCGCCGCGCGGATGTGAAGCCTCGGCGCGCTTCGCTCCGCTGCTCAGGAGCTCGCAGAGGCGGGGCGCAAACTCGTCAGCAGGCGCAGCGTGCAGCTCCGCCACCAGAGCAGTGGCGTTGGGCTTGGCCGACGACTCCCTCCGCTGCCGCACGCGCCGCACGGCAGCCGCCCGCCGCTCCTCCCTCGCTGCAGCCAGTCGTCCCTCCTGCGGGCGGGCAATGGGCAGGTCGGTGGCCCCTCCCTCTCTCTCCGCTCCGCGACGGGCGCGCCTCCCGCCGACACGCCTTCTCCTCCTCTTCCACCTCCTCGCCGTACCACTCTGCGTCTCGCTGCGCTTGCTGCTGCGCCTGCGTGAAAGCGAAGTGCTCTGCCGCCTGCTTGCCGCCGTCCGGGAAGTGCTCGTGCGAGAACCAGTACTCGTCTCCCCCCTCCTTGTCGTTCGGCTCTGTCTCGCGCGGAGAGCTGGCCGCTCCCCCCTCGGCTGGGTCGGCCGCCGGGCACTCGACGACGCTCACGTTGATCAGCCTCGCCTCGCCGAGCAGCGCCACCGCCCCACGCGCAATGTCGCAGAGGCTGCAGTCCGGCTCCGTGAAGAGGACCAGCTGCGGCGAAGCGACGAAGTCGGCGGAGGCCGCCGCCGCTGGCGTCAGCTGGCGGAGGCCCTTGCCTCGCTGGGCGGCCGCGCGCTGGCGGCGGAGGTCGGCGGCGGCGCGGAGGGTGAAGTTGACGAGGAGCTCGGGCAGGAGCGGCTGCGGCAGAGAGGGACCGAGCTCGAGAGCGAAGCCTGAGGAGCAGCACGCCTCGCGCCTCTTGGCGGTGGGAGGCGAGAGGCGAGGCGGCGGGAGGGGGCGAGGCGCCCTTGGCTAGCGCGCGGAAGGTCGGGTGCTCCGGGACTCCGAGCTCCGTCTCGCACCAGCCGCCCGGCTTGCGAGGCACGCCGCAGCGCAGCGCGCCGACCCGCACTCTGTCGCCGAGGATCTGCGAGAGGCGGCGCGCGGCGAGCACGTAGTAGGCCTAAAGGAAGGCTCCGAGAAGGCTCATGGAAGCTCTCACGCCTGCAGCCGGCGAGGGCGTCGTAGGCCTTGTTTGCGATGCACTGGTGGCACCACGGCGCGAAGTACTGCACCAGCCAGAGCGGTCCCTCGCTCGCTGCGGCGGCGGCGTGGGACGTGCGGTTGAGCTCGACCACCGCCGCGTCGGTGAAGAAGCGGCGGCGATCGTCGTCGTCTTGCGCCGTGCGCCAGCTGCCCGACTTGAACTGGTCGAGGGCGGCACGCAGCTGGTCGAAGAGGAGCGCGCTG